TCAGGCTACGGACATCAGTTAGTTTATAAACATTTACAATTAGTTTGTCCATTTTTTTAGGTTATTACGGAAAATACATTCTCAGAGACTATTTTACATTGCCTTCATATAATAAGTTTGTGGAATTGATGAAGATGTTTGATAGTAACATACTACAATCCATAGCTACTTATTTGTATCATCCCTTAAAACTAAGATATGAAATTTACAAAAACATTGAGTGACTTTACAGTATGTTTTATTCATTTGTTGTTTATGCAATCTGTATTTTTGGGTCATGGGCATTGAACTGCAATAAAGATCATTATCATATAAAGCATTGAATAATGATCCCATGAAAGTTCATATTGTTAGATTTGGTTCTCGGTCGATTATTTTGCGTGACGCCGGGGGTGTTACAGTATGCAGGTTTCACCAACGAAAAAGAACATGTAACTAGACCTGTATTATACAGAAATTTCCCACCTACAGGTACTTGTTTGAAAACACATTTAGCTTAAATAAGGGCTGATAAGAGAGGGCCAGCTTCGTCGTATTTAGGCTGCTGTCGCTGCTGCTGATGATGATGGTGGTGATGGTGATGATTATGATGATGATCAGCATCTCTTGCGTCTATTGACGCCATCAAAGCACGTCGTCACCATGCAGATGGCGTGAATTGTAAGAACAGCGTACTGTTAGGGAATACCAAACAACAAATCATCAGAGCTTGGGTTTGAAGGTTACAATTTGACAAAGTATGTAGCCACTTTCTGTCCGAATAGGAGAAAACGCTTTGAACCAGTACATATATGAAGCAAAGATTGTCTGACAAACATGAATGCATAATCGGATATTTTTGATATCTTAAGGCTGGCCGTCTCGTTTCGCTGTTCTGATGTCACGTGACTAGTTCACACCATTATGTGGCAATGGTGGTTTTCACAGTGTTTGCTTTTTTGTTCTCTGCACACATTTTGCTGGTAAGGTGCTATAAACACCAAGCTTCCAGTTAGCTACGTTGGGTGGCCTGAGTACGCTCCGCCACGTCGTGTCACGGGTGACTGTCAAATCTCAAATAAAACATTGTTTTTTCACACACTGAACCCGCCTACTGTCATTCCACTTGTCATCACGAATAAATCAACTGATAGTATTATCACGTAGTTTTTAAACTTTGTTGTGTGTTTTATTTCTGTTTTGGGGCTGGTAGGGGGGATCGTAACCCATTGTGGTGAGAACCAGTGAGACTGGCCTACTTGCAGGGTCCCAAAGCTTAACGTTGTACGTTTTATTGCTTTCATTTACGTTACTTGTCCTTGTCGAACTGCTTATTAAAAATCACTACATTTGTACGTAATAGCAGACACGAAAGCACAACAAACGACCACTACGACCGACTACTGAATATAGAGTATAATATAATTTATTATATCAATCCACCACTGAGAACGTGGGTACGTTCATGTGGCATCCTGAAAATGTAATGTGTAACACCGTGTACCAATAGACAAATGCGAGCACAGTCATGTTTCTACTCAACAACGGTTATGTTTAATTTATTATTATATCAATAAATTACAAAACAACACTGAAACATCTCTTCGCTGCCACAGTAAATGTTGACCAATTCTGTTTGAGATGTTGGTGAATTCGACGACAATACAAAACCTAATTCACTATATTTAACATTGCACACATCTCCCGTTATAAATAATATTGGGAGCTTTGGAATATCTAAGTGGAAATAAAAGAAAATACCCCATCGGCATAAAGTGCAGTAAATATGACAAACATCAACCACAGTATTATGAGTATGAGGCCAGATATCAGTTTAGGCACAGCGGGTCCACCGAGCTCAGCATTGCCGCATGCAGGTAGTAGCCTTCTTAGTACAAGTATACCAATGCATATGATAGCGAACATACAATAGACTGGGATGCTCACTATTAATGTATCGATGGGAATCTCAAAATATCGGCCCTGTAAAGAAAATGGATATAATTGTTCGTTATGAGTTCTACGTTACTCGTACATTACGTAATTTTCGATATAAAGTAAGGTCGACATTCGTACCGATAGTGGCGCTCTATAACCATTCGACAATAATCAGGCGTGGGCGTCAAGCATTTATTATAGCAATTACGAAAAAGGTCACGACTGGATTACGTTGATTAGTCTAACCTTAGATGTCCAGTAGATTGATGACAACAGCCACGGCAGACCAAGACCGAGATACACCATAACTGCACTGTTGCCCATGGTAACGCCAATAGAAGAATCCGCATATTTATCACTTTTCGCTGCTAGTCTATTGGCCATTAAGTCAGGTACACTTGTACCCAACGATATGAAGACTGATGTGAATGTGACTGCAGTGACTGAATCATTGAGCCCAACCATACATCCAAATGTCTTCGTCATGTCGACCAGCGTTGCCATGACGATACCAACTAAGACCAAGCCTGTTATAAGTGAGATAATGCCATTTGTGTTGAGAAAAGATGGAGGTGGAACACACGCTCCTAGCACCTATGAAAAAGAACACGAAAGGCCTGAACTTGTAGTATGCTAGTATATGAGATTGGATTCGTGCGTTCGGTTTGTTTCGTTTAATCACGTGTAACGTGTTTTGCTCAGAGCAAACACGCCATAATCATGATCGTACAAATCGAGTGACCCCCAGTTTTATGATTTTTTGCCGTTTTAGAAAAAATAGACCATTTTTGGTGTAAAACACCAACTTTGGAGACAAAAAGCTCCTCCAATGTCGATCTTATTGTGTCTAGCTTTCATCTAGCGACGGAGCACTTCTGTTGATTACGATAATTCAATAAATTCCTGATAGTGTATCATTAACCGCGGGTCTCAAAACGGGCCAAATTTAATCCATTATTGGCGTTATAATATCGGTTGCTTTTTTTATTACATTATTGGTAGCGAATTGTTACATGGCCGGTTTTTGTTACAATATCGGTTAAATCCTGTCAAATTATCGGTAATTATTACATTATCGGGTCCAACAACTCCCACCAAAAATCCAAGTGAGTACCCACATCGATAACATCTCGATTTGATCCGACAGGTTTCTGAATAACGAATTCGCGACCACTCCGCCATTTCATTTTTTTTTTTTTTTTTTTTGTAATTTGTTGATTTGGTGAAAATATGTACTATATAATAATTTGGTAGTTTACCTTCCAGAAAAATGAAACAAAATGCATTATGTAATCGAGTGGAGTCGCATTCTCTGTATTCCCACCATTGACATGCATGGCACGTCTGAATTGCTCTCCCCATGTTGAGGTTCCCAGCTTCAGGCGGTCTAAATTTAGATTTGTCAGATCCACCACTTTGTCCACTAAATCCCTGTATTCTGAAGACGGTTAGAACAAAAAAAACATAAATGAGATTGAATATGTGAAAATATCAACGCCAACTGTAAACTACAAATAGTGGCATTGTAGGAATATCAATATTGTGTTCTAGTCTGGCTCACCGTCATCGTTAAGTATTGTTACGGTTGTACGGAAAACCTTTCCAAGTCCAGCGCCCCCACGAGGCGCACTTAGCTCCACTTCGAACTTTTCGTCTTTCTCGTACTGTTGATCATCAATGATACGAATGTGAAGCATCTTCTTTGTTTCGCCGTGTTCAAATACCACCTCCCCTTCTCCGCCTTCGTAATCTTTACGATGAATTGCTGTTTTGTCTGTCGTCCTCCACTTTACACTTACTCTACCTTTAGCGCCACTTTTTCTCATGATAGGTAATTGAGCAATTCCAATGTTTTCTTTGAATAAATATGTAGGCTTGTCAAACTCTAGAAGTCCGTAACCTGAACATGGCATATTGGTATAAAGAAATGGAATATTACAATATTATATGCTTAAACAATACTAGCTTTACAGCTCTTTGGTTCTTTTTTTTGTAAAGTATATGGGTAGTACGTTCCCGACACTAGAGGGCGTGAATTCAACTTACCATCGTTGTCCATTATTTTAATTTCGGTGATATTTTGTTTGCCTAGCTTAACATCACTGTTACTATCGTCGTTGTGACACAGTTTGACATAAAAAGATTCATTCGGTTCACAAGTATTGTCATCAATTATCTCGATATCCAGGTTTAATGAACGCTGCCCTGCTTCCATAATAAGTACCCCTCGACGAGCAACAAAATCTACACCGGCTTCCGCCGTGCCACTGATCGTTTCGAACCTAAAAGTAATGGCAACATATTACATGTATTCTTAATAGTCACATGCAGAACGATCATACATTCGAAAAGTAGACATGAAATAGATTTCATTTTTTCTCACTATTCAGGTATCATTGTTGTTTCCTTAGAAGGTGACAGTCGTTGGGCCACGCATGCGTGAGATATATGGGTCTCATTGAACTTGCTTGCAGAATTTGTCATCGAAATCTCAACAGACAAGCAAGCAAGCAAGTCCAGGGTCTCATATAAACACAGATGGCGACTTTGACTGTTGCGCAGATCAACGAGTACAAACTGAGACGTTACCAAGCTTTGATTAGGTTTTTTTTTTGGAAGGTATCGAACGGAGTCATCGGCGGTAATTAGCGCAAGTCGCACCCAGGTCAAACCTCATATTATGATTTCCATTAGAAGAGCGCATTGGAGAGTTGGAAAATCAATGTCTTGAACACAAATGTCACACATGCGCAGCGCGACGACCACCGCCCTTTAAACTGTAGAATATATTTTAGATATATCTTGTGTTGAATACTGTAAAAGCTAATACATTTAAAAGCTAAATGTACGAAGTAACATAACCTTAGTTTTTTTTTAACAGAATACAACAATCTCACTGTGAGAAACTAGCTACATAAGATTAGCTAAATTAGCTGAAATAACACGATAATCATTAGCTAAAGGACGCAATAATGCGCAATGGTGATCAGCAGGAAATATAATTTCTATTGATAAAATCAGATTTGAAGAAGAGCGCATCCACTTTGAATCGATACTTCATATTGATTAGTTCCAGATGGTTTTAAAATAAATATTCACAATTATAACGTGATATTGTATTTTCAATCTAAATCCCGACGAGGATAACGAGACATCATGATGTGATGTAATGTAATGTTAGTCATTGAGTGACATAGTGTACTTATGGCTAAATTGTCATGTCTATACACAGGCTTACCTAAATAAAATCACTTTATCATTGTTTCCTTTCCTTAAGATCTTAAGAGAGACCCGTTTTTCGTGTTCATGGATGGCATACACAGGAGACGAGAATTCGACGACAGATCCGTCAAACGGACCTTCTCCGAGTCCTTCCCCTGTTATATTGGTCTGCAAAATGCACAAGCCATAGTTATATTGACGTTATAGTGTTTAATTTAATAAAACATGTTTCCTTGTGTTTCGTTGAGATTGTGTACAGTCATAAAAGGGCGGTAGTCGTCGAGCCGCGCATGGGCGACATTAGTGTTGATAAACATTGATTTTCTAATAATGCAATGCGCTTATCTAATGAAATCACGAATACAAGTTGTGCCCTGGGCACCACTTGCACTAATTACCGCCGGCAACTTCTTCGATACCTTCCAAACATC